TTGATACTTAAAGCTTGAAAATTAATGTAGAATGTGTAACTCCTTAGCATCAGAGCAGGTTAATATAAGGCAACTGGCAGGTGGAACCAGAGTTCTTTTCAGGTAGGGAGTAGAATGTCTAAACTCCCAGCCTGCGGGTCAGATGAATCACATGCTGGCCACACCCGGACTAGCGTAAGGGTAGCATTGGCACATGTTAATATAATACTGTATAAGAAATACTGATAATCTGATAGTCATTTCGACAAATCCTTTGTAAGCGAGCACCTAGAAGCCAAGAGAAACACATGTGCTGAATTTCAAGTTTATAGGCTTTACAGTTCTGGAGATTTCGTGATGAGTGAGTGGTATTTGGCTTTTAAATATATAGATTAACAGGAAAAATCCCAGAACATGTACCTACCCATATAAATACTTTCTTTTCTAAACAAAATAACAAGAATGTTTTGTGTAAATTAAGGCCTGGCCTCCAACACTCTGTCCCGCAAGGATGGCGGCAGTGAGTGGTATGGGAAATGAGCCCAGACCAGCATGCCTGCCTCCTTCCTCTGAGAGCCAGCTTGGGGGATGGCAGTCTCCCCCACCGCTGCGCCCCTCCCTCGCTGCCCCTGCTGGATGGAGCATTGGAGGCCAAGCAGAAATCCAGAACCCCGAGAAGAAATAGCTCTGGCACTTTGAAGGCTACTTGCATTGCAAAATTCCACCCAATGGGGAATTTTCTGACATTTTGCAAGGCGGCTCTCAAAGAGAACGAAGCAGCCATGGTGCACCCAGAGCTACTGTTTCTTCTTTGCAACAGCCGAGGATGGAAGAGGAGCTGAGGAACTGCGTGGAGCCTCCACGTGTTGCACCCCGATCCCAGCCTTCACCTGTGCCTCCGCACTGGCCAACGTCTTCCGAAGCCGCCACCGTTGTAGCCACGATGGGGATGGGGGGCAAGCCAGCAAGCTCAGCGCCCGAAAACAGCACGGAGGTGTGGGTCAAGACTGGGAGGGAAGGAGGAGCCAACGTCTCTATGGTATGGACATGCGGTCTCGATGTTCTGAGACTGCAGCCAATACTTTTGCCACTGGGGGGGTCCAATTGGACCTAAACCGTTCCAAAGAGACGGTGAACCAGAAGACCACGTCTTGCTGATATCAGGGACAACGCAAGTCTCTGATTGATACAAGAGAAGGACTTCAAGCTGGCGACAAAAGGCAGCCTAGGCTGANGCTCTCTTTGTCTCTATGACTTACTCTTGAAAGTAGATGAGGGTAGTCGAGCTGGGTGTCAAGGATGTGCAGATTACCTTCCCAGTGGCAACACTCGGGATGACCTTCCCCCAGTTACTTCTGTATTTGTTTGGTAATGTCATAATTCTTGTGGAGCCTCAGAATTCCATGATTTCACTGCTTCCTGATCACTCTCCTAATACCCTTTCTGGACAAAAAAACTGACTCCACTACAAAATATCATCTGTAAGACTCAACAATCTCTTTCAGAAATTGATTTGAGTATTCATCTTTTCTTCATTTAGCCATGATTAATTTTTTTAATTTTTTTTAGAATAAATTACATTCTAAAAGACATATTACTTTTATTCTATTAGTTATTAGGATAAAAATGCAATGCGGAAACTCTACCCAGTAGGACAGGAATTTTTTTGACTACATTAAACATTGCAAAACTGCTCCCCTCAAAAATAGTCAGATCTCACTCAAAATACATATGAAAAAAATTCTTAGGGCTCTTCAATTAATATGGCCGCCATGTTACTGAAATAAGACTAAAGATCACCACATACTTTCCAGAATTGAAGTGAAGTGAGATGTAGGCTTGGCTTGAGAATGTGTCCCTCAAAAAGTGTAAGTCAGGCATCTTTTGCTGTAGTATATGAGACATGGATATGTTGTGGTCCACCAGCAGCTGGGGGAGCTGGCAGCAGAGTCGGACAGTGAGGAGGTTGGGGAAGAACATGGTCAAGTCTTGGAGTCTGGGGAAGGCTCGGACGAGTGCTCTGCCTCGGAGGCAGAGAGGGGGCCAGGGCCATCTGGGAGTTATATACTGCCTCTGGAGCCTCCAGAGTCTAAAATCAGCAAGGCAGAGGAACAGTGGAGCCTGTTCCCAGTATGTGCATGCGCAGAGCTGCCAGAAGGCAAGAACAGTTAAGACAAAATTCAGGAGTAAAGCTTGGAGATGATTGGCCCCTCCCATAAATCATAAAGGAGGAGCAAAGAGATGTGAGTCTTTACAAGAAGCAACGTTGTTCTGGTCAGTTTAAACTCTGAAGCTCCATTTTTACTCTGTGCTCTGTTTGGCCTTGCAAAGCCAATTGGCAATTAAATCTTTGGCAGCTCTTCAAGGGAGATAAAGGTGGGTGCTTACCAGCCTTATCCTGAAAAACTGTGGCAGACTTCTGTCGGATTCTTTGCAAACTATTTGTGATTCATTAAGAGCTGTGAATGAACATAATTCATAGTCTTTAAATAAAAAGAGGGTTTTGGCGACTAAGGGTGTGATTTTTACTGCTTCAGGAAGCCTAGGTTAGAACAGAATATGAGCCCAATGTGGGGAAGAAATATTTTAAAGATCCAGATAGGCATCCAAGAAAATGTCCTTTTTGTTGAAGAAGTACAATTAACTGACACCAACCAGCATGGAAAGACAAAACCAGATTTATTATTAGTTAAATATGGAGCTTACTTTTTGCCCAAAGAGACTTAAAGTAGAAAACAATAAATTTAAACTTGTTGCATTCAAGAAGAAAAAGAGCCATGCTCTGTATCATGAAGAATTGTCGTCTGGAATCACATGTTGGGCATGGCTGAATC